ATATCTTTATGTTTTATCAACCATAAAAATTATGGGAAAAGTTATGGGAAGTGTATTTTAATAAACAGTGTTCATATGCGTACAGGGAAAAGTTTGGCCGATTAAAATTTAAATACATATAAAATAGGAGTGATGTTAAAAAAACTTAAATGAACATAAAGTAAATTTAGTTAACCATAAACCCTTCTGTATACATTATATATAGTGTACACTACTATTCGTGAACCCATGTTATACTACATTATTGTTAGTTTACCTTTTTCCTTTTTTGTAATTTTATTTTACCTTTTTTTTTGTTTTTACAATTTTTACACAAGGTAATCAACGCATGGGACATCCCTATTATATCCTTTTCTTTTTATTCTCCCAATCTTCATTATCTCTTAGTTAATTTAGTTTTATATAAAAATTTACGATTTACATTCAAAAATTACCATTAAATGAAGAAGTGATGTGGTTGCGACATGTGGACTTGACTATCTAGTTTTTGCTATGTGGATTACCCTATGTAGTTTTATACCATGTGTCCGATTGAAAACTCTCCTTTAATATATATAGAGATAGATTTGACCGTCCGTCCTGTAATTATTGTCCAGTTTATTTTTTCATTTTTAGTTCAAATTGTACTAAATGTGAAGTCTCAAACTGGACAATAATTATGGGATGAAGGGAGTACAACACTGCAAGCAACCCCAGCGTGTCATTAACCAACATTTCACTCACATCACATAAAAGGGGTTTTCACACTTCACAACCTCGCGCAACACTAGCACATGTCGGCAAATTGGACAGGATGACTGAGGACGATAAATCGGATCTATTAACTGAAAAACTCTAGCTCCGTACTTACTTAGAATAATAAGAATTTTATTCTCATGTGATGTAATGTACAATATACAAGGGTATATACAATAATAAACCCTATACCAAAGATTATTACCGTAAATACAAGTATTACAATAAATTATCTTTCAGTGCATTCAGCATAAATTGGAGTTTACACGATGGCATAATCTTGAGTCTCCTGACTCGAATTTTGCTAAACAAATAACACAGTTGTCGACTAATTAAACATCGCCAGATGGGAAAATGTCATTATCGAGATAGTAATATTGATTTTAGCTTTCATATTTTCCCTCCTCCGTCGGACCCAGATAACGATGTAACATAGATAATTCAAACACACATTGTGCCAATGATAGCAGCCACTAGTGTTAGCGTTTCACGTAATGTTGAATGAGTCATGCAAATCGTTTTCCTTCGTTATCTATTTGAACTTCCACCGCAAAAACCATCTTTGGGAGAATACTTGTGAGGAAGCAAGCTTTGTATGTTTAAAAAGAGGTGATTGGTGAGATTTTTTTCGTTTGTGCGTTTGTTGGTGATTTATTGTAGTGTCTTCTACTTATGTGAGTAAGAGACCGAACTCAAATCTGGATACGATTCAAAGATGATTAAATGGTTTCGATCCACTGCAGTGTTCACCAAATTTCTCTATTCAATTTGTTTCTCTTCATGTATAAATATGAAGCTGAGAAAAAATTAGTTGCATTACCCCGTTTATGGTGATTATCTTATTTATCATTTGGATTTCTTTTCTATGTATGTTAATGCAGTGTCAGCCAAAAATTCCAACTGAAATAAACAAACAATGAAAAGATTTCAAGCGGCTTTTGGCAGTGGCCGGTCTTTCGCACAGTATGCCGTTGAATTCCTATAGCAAATTGGTTTTGCATGATTCCTAAATCTATTTAGGTTTAGGCTTTTTCTATTTTACTATGTGCTCCCTCATGTCCTTATTATGAGGCATTTTAATTTAACCTAGCTTTGTCCTAAATTTCAATAAGGATGTCTCTTTATTTGAAATAAAAATCTTAAAAATATTTCATAATAATTATAAGAACACGACAAATGTGAAAATATATTTTTAAGGGTTTTTTTCTAATTAAAAATGCATCCTAGGTTAAACCTGAGACAAAATAAAAATGCCTTATAATAAGGAGCGGAGGGAGCACAACTACTTGATGTATGAATTCTATTGGGTAGTATTAAGTTTGGTTCCCTTTACTTTTGGGATTAACCTATCCTTGGATCTAAAACATTTGCGCAAGTCAATAAGATTCTTGTCGGTGTATGTTGGTCAAACTGACGAAACCACATAAATCTTGTGTCTGATTTATTTTTCATTTGATATTTATTTTCCACTGTTGTAGCCAATTTGCCTAACATAGTGCTTGTTAGTTATTCCTGCTTCGATTAAATATTTCATCATCATCTAGTTACACTCGACACAAATTACCCAAAGGGACTTACTTACCCCATTCAAAAAGAATCCCAGATACTGTTGGTTGTAATCTACTTCCGCCTCAACTTGCTGGAAGGAGCAGTGTTGTTACTGAGGATATAAGCGAGCTTTTTTTGAGAAAAGCATGTTGACTAGTTCATTGGCAGATCAAATGATGGTTCTGGAATTTAAGATGTACGCTTTAGGATGTAACAAAAAGTACGCTTTTTTATTTAATTACACCCCTTAATGAACCTTGAAAGATTACGAGAAAATTTTCTTTGTTTGTTTACCTTTGTCCAAATATTTGCCACATCGCAAGTACTATATTATAAAGACAATAATTACTAATTATACCGAAAACAAACATCATGTGCGTTTTGGAATCTAACATTTTATTAGAATATTCAAGAGTTACACGTCCTTTGTTTTTAATATTATATTCGGTGTTCAAGATCACAGTACAAACAAATTCCTATAGTAATAATTCTAACGGTTGTGCATGAGGAGAGAGTCTCGTTCTTGAATAAGAGCTGCTTCCCGGCGTTCGTGATGTCGAATACAATCGAGTAACCTTCGTTGCAAAAGTTGCAAGTTGGAGGGGCTGAGACTCGGCCGATTCTCATGAAACTGACGAAGCCACTCTTCGTCCCGCCTTTTGTAGAATCTCTCGATTTCAATTTCTCTCTCAATTTGAATCAGTCTTACAGAGATAGCCATTGATAGAAACCTTCTTTCTTTCTTTCTTCCCTAATTGTTCAAACTTTTTCTCACCCTTTTGCTTTTGTGAATTAACTTAGATTTTATATTCACAAAAACACAACTTATGTGTAATGATAGAAAAATGAAAAATATTATTAATTATTATTAGTAACATATAAAACACTTATTATGTATTCAAATTATTTCATAAAATAATAATTATTTCGTCGTATAATCACGAATGGAAGGCCGCCACATCAGTGTCACCACCAATAAGAGATTGACACCTCGTCACCGGATTTTATCATTTTCCCTTTCGAAATCCAACGAAATTTAGTGAATTTTTTTTATTTATGCTAATTTATGCATTATTTTCTAAATGTGAAAAAATTTATTGTATTGTTTGTCCTATCAATATAACCCATTTTGTCGTAATATCTCACTCGGTCTGTTGAATCCAAAATTAATATACAAATCCGACGAGATTACGTGAATTTTTTTCTCTGTAAGCTAATTTATGACATATTTTCTAAACGTGGGAAATTTTATTATACCGTTTATCCTATCAATATAACCCATTTTTGTCGTCTCTCACTCAGTCTGTTGAATTAAAAGTAATATAAAAATCCGCCGAGATTATGTGAATTTTTTTCTTTAAGCTACTTTATGGCATTATGTTCTAAATGTGGAAAAATTTATTGTACCGTTTATCCTATCAATATATTCCGTTTTGTCGTAATATCTCACTCAGTCTTTTCAGTAAAAGTAACATAGAAAAGTGAACTATTATAAAGTTACTGAACCAATGAAACGAAATAGTGACATGTACTAGAAATTACAAATAACACTTAATTGTGCTCACACTCTTGAAAAATAACATTAAATTTTGTATTTTCACGATAGACATATCTTTTTAGGGTGTGGTTTCACAATTTATTGTTGTATAACTTGAGTTGTTCTGTAATCCTCTCTATGATACTCTACTTCTTTTCTCCTTTTTGTTTCCTAAATTTTTATAGTCCTCTCTCTTCTGTTTGTGTAGGTTAAATAGATTTTATTTGAACAATCAAGGAAACATTTTCAAACGATCTGAAATTGTTACCATTTATTTTGACCTTTAGGTGGGAGAAAGGAGGATCACTTTCAGGTTTAATCGGTCAACAATTTGGATTTTACGTTTATAGATTAGAGACCAACCTCCGAGTTATGTTTGATAAAAGATACATTTCCAAACCTCACTGCGATTAATTAAAATCAATACCAATCTAATATCGAACTCAAAGCTACTAAATCAATACTCAATAAAGTAAATCCTACCAAATTAGAACTTTGTGTTTCTAGTATATTATAGAATACGTTGAGTAATTACTCTTTCAGGTCCTAATTATAAGTCACAAATTATCACCAAACTTAATTCAAATTAATTGTATTTTGGGATTAGAACCAAAGAGACTATTACTCTGGTACAGACTGAGTAACAACCATCATGTCAAACCCATCGATCTTTGACTGGGTTGGATTGAGTTGTGACCCAACTAATTCTGCCCAATTCATGAAACTTCTGTTTTTTCCGTAATGTGGAAATTGTTGGACATCTCATGTTTATAATCTTTACTTCTGTCACTAAGGAAAGAGCTGAATCTAGTTGTTTTAATGTATGGAACTGTGTAACAATATCAGACACATCCAGTTATTTGTTCTCAACAGAGAATTCATATTCAGAAGCAAAATTTATGGAGGCAATGTAATGTACTGATCCAATCCTCACAAATTATCTATGCTAGGGAAGGTTTCAAACTATTCTACTGTAAAACTGTAAATGAAATCCTGATGATCAGAAGTTAAGTCATGCATTCATCAGTATCATGGCTAGCTTTTAGTTTGTATAAACAACACATGATCAGCTCCCATAACATTCATGTTGAAAAATCAGAAGAATATTAACCTGTTTCCTAATTTCTAGTTAATGAAAATCAGAAGCTAGTCCTCTGATTTTCTTTTCCGCTCGCCGGTCATGGGGTTCAAATGGAAGTCTCTCATGTTAACCATTTTCACATTCCTGATGGTAGTTTGTAATGCATCTTTGATTAATAGTAATGTGGTGAGATCAATTAAGGTATGGATGGTATCATGCACTGGTTCCTCCTGGAAGCAAAATTTATTATTAGTAGTAAACTTCGTAGATATATCGATTTTCACAATGATTTTTCCTTTGGCTTGATGACTATCTAGAGTGAAGATGGTGATGTGATTGATTGCATTCCAATTCACAAACAACCTGCTTTCGACCATCCCGCTCTACAGAATCACAGCATTCAGGTATGCGATGCTAGTGTACGACCACGATAGAATCCTGTTTCAGATGTTTTTGTTGAATCCCTTAGGCTAATCACAATGATAATCTTGACTGATCAGGATTTTTTTTTTTTTTTTCAGATGAGGCCAAGCAATGATCCAACAATGGCAAAAACTGAAAGGGAAGAAGAAGTTCCCAATATTGTAGTAAAGCAGCTATGGCAGAAAAGTGGAAGCTGTCCTCAGGGAACTATTCCCATTCGGAGGACACAAACAAAAGAAGGTCATATAGCATCAAAAAAGCCATCCTTCTCCCATCTTAATGATAAGGAAAAAATGGTGGATAACAATGACTTGGAACTTCTTCAGCTTAATCATTCGGTAAGCATAAAAATCCAGATACTACACAAATTATTACCAAAATTTGTAACACATTTGGTTTCAAACCTGATCTTTTTTTTTCTCGCGGATTCAGTTGGCTGTGTTGATAGCTCAAGGGTTTGCATACTATGGAGCCAAAGGAGACATCAAATTGTGCTATGCTCAGGTCGAACGAGATGATGAGTACACTACTAATCAAGTTTCTCTGATCACTGGTCCTTTCCGAAATTATGAAGCCATTGAATCAGGGTGGGCGGTTAGTGTTACAGAAACCATAAGGAAAATCTCAGTTAATTGGATTAGTTAAAGGGTTGATCATTCTTGCAGTTGCCATTAATTTCACTACTGAAAAGCTATAGCCTAATGCACTATGTTGCAGGTGAACCCCGGGGTTTATGGTGACAGGCAGACAAGACTTTTTGTTTACTGGACGGTATGGTTGAAAACCTTCATGCTTTTCACTCTTATTTTTGTTCTTGTCAATGAAACGGCTGATTTTGGCTCGCTTCGTGTTCTAGGTTGATGGTTCAGTAAATACCGGCTGCTTTGATCTCACATGCCCTGGATTTGTGCAAACAAGCAGTGACATTGCACTTGGAGCTCCAATCTATCCCATATCAGACCCTGAAGGAAATGATCCATCGGTAATTACTATCTTCATCCACAAGGTATATCATTCTGTCTCACATCTGCAGCCTAAACAATTGGAGACTAGTAGTCAATTGACAAGTATGCATTATGAAAATTTTACTCTCTTATCTTCCTTACAATGTTTCATTTTCTTCAGGATCCAGAAACAAACAACTGGTGGGTGAATTATGGAGAAGAGGTAAACATAGGCTATTGGCCAGCAGAATTGTTCAATGGATTGTGCTTTCATGCTGAATCTGTTCAGTGGGGTGGGGATGTTTACAGCAAGCGAGTTGGAATGCATCCTGGTCATACTGCAACAGGAATGGGTTGCGGCCAATACCCGAGCCCTGAGCCGTTTTTTGGATCAGCTTTCGTGAAGAGGATGCGGGTGATTCAGAACAAAGTGCTAGTGCCTCCAGCATTTGTAAACACTTATGCTGATGAGTACAGATGTTACAGAGCATTGTACCTTAGTGATTATGTAGAAGATCCTGAGTTTTATTATGGTGGACCTGGTCGGAATTTTCTGTGTCCTTGAAATCAGAGAAACTTTGTTGATGATGTTTTGATGTAGTATCTAGGTTTGGTGACATGAACATTGATGTCATGGCCTTATGGGAATTCAATTCAATCAAGGGAACTCAAATTTTAGTAACACATATTTCATCAGAGTGTGTGTGTGTGTGTGTGTGTGTGTGTGTGATTGTCAAGGAAAGATTTCATTTCATGAAGGCGAGATGCCTTGATCAAAACTCAAAAGAATTACATGAACCTAAATAGTCATGTTCAAGTCAGGGCGATATCAAAAAAAATATAAGCCCTCATCCTTGTCTAACAACTCTTTTGCTAATGCATCGTCACCCAAAGTCTGATTTCATTTACATTAGACCACAACACATCTTTACAGCAGTTTCGGAATCAGATTCGACAAGAACTTTGGTGAATCCTCCTGGTTTGCAACTTCTAAGCTTGTCCTGATGACAGAAATCTCAGCTTTTCTTCTCTCTTTTTATGAATGAACGCATACCACATTCAGAGCAATACTAGAGCTCTATGATTTCAAATGGCAATATGTAGTTCTGAATATTTAATAAAAGTCAATATAAGATGAAAAATCGTCAAGAAACTGTAACCGCGAGACTCTTCCAATCTAACAACACGACTCAATTGACACATTATATCAACTCGGATCAATTAAATGCACCAGTGAAATCCACCAGAGCCACCGTAATAAAGTTCCGGATCATTGGTGAATTCCGTGTTGTGGAAAACATTATAACAACGATACTCATCCGTCCAGGTATAAGTCATTATCGGCCGAGTGAATGTCTGGGAGTTGACAGCAACCCGCATTCTCTTCATTGTGCCTGAGTTGCCGAAAATGGGGTCCGGGAAATCTCCATTGCCCATTTGGATCGCCGGATGCGGATGACTCTTCATCCTGGTGCTGTAAACTTCACCGCCCCACTGAACAGTCATGGCATCGAAATACAATCCCATTCCCTTGAAAAGATCCCTTGGCCAATATCCTATCAAGGTGCTCTCTCCATAAATCAGCCACCAGTAGCCCGTATCTCGATCCTAAAATAAAACAAATCAAAATTCCAGGTTTGAATATCTTGCGGTATGTCACTATACAGATATCTGTTGAATTATTTTTATGGGACGGAACTAATAAATTAGATAGACGAGAGAAAAACAGTGCATTTCTTCAATGTTTTTTACCTTTAGGATTGTGATGGTTATTTGGAATGGAAGGCCTGTAGGATTTGATATGGGATAAACTGCAGCACCAAGAGCTATTTTGTTGTTTATTTGTACAAAACCAGGGCAAATGAGATCAAAGCAGCCGGTATCAACCGAACCATCAACCTACAAAGTTTAATGCACACATCCCAATTAATTTCTTGTTACAATTCATCAATGGCAAGGGACCAACAATTCGTCCCAAAATGATTGTCTTGAATGTTACTACAAATACGAAGGACAATCGCGATATATGGGACAGGAAGAGCAATAACTTACTGTCCAGTAAGCAAAGAGTCTTGTCTTTCTATCCCCATAAACGCTTGGGTTCACCTGCAACAATTTATTAAACCAAAAAATTATGAATGGATGCAGGAAGAAAGACTGAAAGGTAATAATTCTGAAAGAGATTTTGGGTTACTAAACTGCCCATCCTGATTCAACAACTTCAGAATCCCGGAGAAAGCCACTTTTTAGAGCAACTTGCGACAAACTGTACTCATCATCTTCTCCTACATGAGGGTTCCATACCTGAATATCTGCTTTAGCCCCATAAAATGCAAACCCCTGAGCAAAAAGGATTGCTATCTGTTTTGGAGTTCCAAAAAGAAGAAAAAAAAAAGAAAAAGGATTAATGAATCGTTACTTAAGGGATCTTTTTAGCGACAAAGAAACAAATCTCTCTGTATATACCGAGCGATTTGCATATAAGAGATTCGGTTGGTTGTTGTTGTTGTCATCTTTGAATTGCTGATATTGATGTGGAACAAAACCTGGTTTTTTCTTCAGGGCTTGATTTGATTTGCCATCTTTTTTTCCTAGTTTTCTCCGGAGAATGGGAATGGTTCCCTCAGGGCAGCTACCACTTCTCTGCCATATCTGTGTTGCAGAAGTTGTATAATCCTGCGAGTTTTCATGTTCTGCTTCTTTCATCATGGTTTCTGTTTCTGAATCTGTCAGCAGCAACGATGGTTCCATCTGAGAACTCGAAATGGAGCTAACATTCGATTTCATTTTTCAACTTTTATAAATTAAAAGCCAGAATCATGATTAGTAACTCATAGAGAAAGTACCCACAGACCTGGATTTTGTGATTTTTCAAAGCAGGATGATTAAAAGCTGGTTGTTTGTAAATGTCAATACAATCGATTATATCCCCATCTTCACTCTGGAAAAATAAAGGAGGAATCAAATGGAAAAGAAGGCACTACATTTAGTTATACGGTACTACTATTTTGCATCCTCAAAAACAGATGCTCCTAAATTCGACAAACATGACACTTTTCTTTTTGGGACGGAGGGAGTAACAGTCTCGAGATTGGTACCTGAATCGTGCTATTCACTTCGTAGTTTCTCTCGGATTGAAGAATGTTCTGCTTCAGGCTGGAAGTATTTTCTGAAACCGCGGTGAAGCTGCTCAGAAAATGTATAGCCAGAGTGACTCCCAAGAACAGGATAGTGTTCCGCTTCATCCCCATCGCCATCAAAGTGTTGAGATTATGACATGAATGTGTGTATTCAAGGAAATTAAAATTGAGCCATGAGAATTGAAAGCCTTTTGAGTTTCCAAAATGTTGGTTTTGGTATGCTATTTGGAGCAACAAACTGTAATCATGCGTGACTTACTTTTCTCATCATTCGGATTTCATGTTGGAGACTGGAGAGGTCTAAAGGAGATCGAAACACTCAAAAATGAAATTTACAGTAAATACTGGTATGCGCACAGGATTCATAATGATCATGCTCATCTTGCTGCTAAGCTATATCTATAAATTCCAAAAAAAATAATAATAATTTGCATGCCCTGTAAACTTCCCTGAAGATGCTTGTAACGACTGCAGAGCTTTAAGTGGTTTCGACCAATAAAATGTTTACTGGAGAGGAAAACCTGTACGGGATTCACATCCTGATATAAAAACCTGGTACTTTACTGGAAAGTCCATATAAGAAGCTACTATAACCGGCACCACATCCACATCATAGAATATACATATTGACCTGCCTATAAAAGGATATCTAAGTTGCAGTGATATGAACTGCTGCAGGTACTTACTTGAATTCATATGTTCATTACCCAGAAACATCATCTCCTAGACACTTATAGTAAGTAAAACTGGATACTAACTTTTGGAATTTCAACAGCTATACGTCATATGGTTAGATCTATACTACTCTTCCCCAATTGGCTTTTACTTTTATCTGAGCACACAAGCTATTTAACTGTCCAAATTCCGAAAAGACTCAGGTAGCCACACTCAACTATGCCCTAGCGCTTCCTGTCTGGTCATAACACAAAAACTGTCCAACTCAGGCGTCCATGCAGCAACTGCTTCAAGTACATCCTCTGTTACCATATGGAACCGCGCCTCTTCCTTTATGTTCTGCTTGAGGAAAGGCTCCAAAAGAGGGACAAGAGCACCTTTTACAATCCTAGCAACAGAGGTTAGCAATGATTTCGCTAAAGCACGGATACCATGGATTCCATCAGCCCTTTTGTATTTCGATATGACTCGTAGCAGAAATGGCACTAAGATCGGTACTTCTGTCTCAATGAAAGGTGAGTTCCTAACATCTTCTCCAACAGAAGCATTACATGCGATCTCTTCATTACAAATTGTTATCCACATGTCAATCATTTTCGGAGCCACTGCCATCTCGTGTGCAAGAACTCTGGCTGAGAGGTCCATGATGGACTACCTGAAAGGCTCAAGGGCCTCATACTTACTTGTTGCAATAGCTTTCAGACATCCAAATACAGCCTCTCTTATCTAGCGCTTTTCTCATTACCAGCGTCACAAACTAGAACCATGATCCGAAGGCGCTCCATCTCATCCTCAAAGCTGGTTGGCGCGAAATTGATAACATTGCCCAAAGTCTGAAATGCAGCAACCCTGACTACTTTATATTCCTCAGCCAGGTTCAGGACCTGAACAACGTCAGTGAAGACGGAGTTAACCTCGTCTTGGCTCAAAGCACCAACAGAAGTCGCAACAAATACAGAAGTAAGCGCCTCCACTGTGGCTTTTTTCATCCATGTGGAGCCATCTTGTTGTTTCAAATTGTGAACTAAAAGACCAATAAGTCCCGGCCAGTTCTTGATAGTTTCGAAAGAGATAATATCACCCATCACTATAGATGGGAAGTATTCACCACTTATAAGGGAGTCCAGGAGCTGACTTTTCACCTGAGATTCCTTGGCCGAATCAAATTCCTCTCAAATTCGCTTCCTAATGTCCTTCTTAAAGGTCATGTCCAGTAGGGTAGCAGCCAGTGCACGAGTTTTAGCCGTCTTACTAGAATCAGTTAGTTCAGTCAGGCATGATAACAGATACTGCTGTAAATTCCCTTCCTGGAGTTGAAAAAGCTGTTCTTCAGCGTATGATGAGACGTCTTCATTGGTTGAGAAAATATCAGACAGAATCGAAGAGAAATCCCTGTCCATCGCCTGCAAATAAACTGGCATCCGAAAGTTTATCTAAATTGTGGATGAAACCATTTTTAATTTAACATTAAGAACTTTTTAAAAAGAGATATTCCTAGCGGGTCAAATCAGGTCAGAGTATATCCAAAAACAGAACCCTAAGTTTCATAACCATGACGGATCAAATTTTCAGTCCAAAGCAGCAGTAAACATGGTTCGGCGCTTCCGCAAATCACAAAGGCACAAGACTGCGAATAGTTTAGTAACTCATCTCGTTCATTATTATCTGAGGGGAAATTTTAGGAAACCGTTTCCAAGATTAGATGCCTTAATTAAATCATCATCATCAGAACATGTAGATGTCCAAAATGAGTCAGTCTCCATTGCCGAGCAATCAGTCCCTGCTTTTTTATTCAAAGTTTCCACAGCAATCTCTTCAACTTCTGCAATTAAGAATCTCCGTTTTGCACGAGTAAACGGTGCCTCAGTCATCTTCATTGTGCGTTGCTGTTTCTTCCTTGCAAAAGTAACCTTCCTGCTAGCAATCCTTGCCTTCGTATCCTTGTGCTGTGACTTGTGAGGTGAATTTTATATTAGTTTTCTCACTTACTAGGTTTAAGAGTATTTTCAGTGTTTAAATCCATGCACTTAGTTTGATAAAAAGACGGAGCATTTAAAATTCACACCAATTGATGATAATTAAATATGGGGCCACATAGTTCTTATTAATATTGTTAATATCTTGCAGATTTTGAAATTCTATCTAGTCTAGTGATCAATTTAGAGGTCTAAGATATAAAAGAGAACTCAAATTTTCATAAGCAATGTTTCATCCAAAGTTCCACACCCAACGTAGTATTCAAATCTCTTCCTTTTTTTTTTTTTTTTTAAAATGAACGGACACATTCCGCATTCATTTAGAATATAAATATCAGTGTTCTGTGTTCTCGAATGGCGACATGTACATTCTGAACAGCCAAGAAACTGCATCAGTAATGGAAGTCCATAACATACTAATAACATAACATTCCTTAACAGAAAGTAACATTTTTTCACTAACACGTAACACGACTCAATCGTCACACTATATCAACTCGGGTTAATTAAATGCACCAGTGAAATCCACCAGGGCCACCGTAATAAAGGTTCGGATCATCGTCCCGGTACTCCTTCCTGTAGTAAACATCATAACAACGATACTCATCCGTCCAGGTATAAGTCATTATCGGCCGAGTGAATGTCTGGGAGTTGACAGCAACCCGCATTCTCTTCATTGTGCCTGAGTTGCCGGAAATAGTGTCCGGGAAATTCCCGCTGCCCATTTGGATCGCCGGATGCGGATGACTCTTCATCCTGGTGCTGAAAACTTCACCGCCCCACTGAACAGTTACAGCATGGTAATACAATCCCATTCCCTTGAAGATGTCCCTTGCCCAATATCCTATCAACGTTTTCTCTCCATAAATCAGCCACCAGTTTCCCGAATCTCGATCCTAAAATCATAATTTGAGATTATATAGAGAGGTCTAACTTATATTTGTCGGATTATTTTTATGGGACGGAGAAAAATAGCTTAGATAGACGAGAGAGGAAAAAACAGTGTAATTGTTCAATGTTTTTTTACCTTTAGGATTGTGATGGTTATTTGGAATGGAAGGCCTGTAGGATTTGAGATGGGATAAATTGCAGCACCAAGAGCTATTTCATTGTTTATTTGAACAAAACCAGGGCAAATGAGATCAAAGCAGCCGGTATTAACCGAACCATCAACCTACAAAGATTAATGCGCACACATTTCAGTCAATTTCTTGTTATAATTCATCAATGGAAATGGACCAACAATTCGTCCCAAAATGATTGTGCTAAATGTTGCAACAAACAGGACAATAACTTACTGTCCAGTAAGCAAAGAGTCTTGTCTTTCTATCCCCATAAACACTTGGATTCACCTGCAACAATAGATCAAACCACAAGATTATGAACAGAACTGTTCATGTAGATCAATTCTGAAAGAAAGAATGAAAGGTTTTATTAATTCTGAAAGAGATTTTTTAAGTGTTATTATGGTTACTGAACTGCCCATCCTGATTCAACAACTTCAGATTCACGGCGAGTGCCACTTTTCAGAGCAACTTGAGACATACTGTACTCATCATCTTCTCCAACATGAGGATTCCATACCTGAATGTCTGCTTTAGCCCCATAATATGCAAACCCCTCGGCGAAAAGGATTGCCATCTGTTTTTTGGAGTTCCAATAAGAAGAAAAATGGAAGAAGGAATTAATGAATCGTTACTTAAAGGGATCTTGTTAGCTATGAACAAAGAAATATCTCTGTATATTACCGAGCGATTTGCGTATAGAAGATTCGGTTGGTTGTTGTTGTTGTTGATGTTGTCCTCCTTGAATTGCTGATGTTTATGTGGAACAAAACCTGGTTTTTTCTTCCGGGCTTGATTTGTTTCGCCGTCTTTTTTTAGTGGTTTTCTCCGAAGAATAGGAATGGTGCCTTCTGGGCAGCTACCACTTCTCTGCCATATCTGTGTTGCAGAAGAAGTATTCCCCGAGTGTTCATGTCCAGCTTCTTTCCTGGTTTCTGTTTCTGAATCTGTCAGCTTTGTTGGTTCCATCTGAAAACTCGAAATGGAGCCAAGATTTGGTTTCATTTTTAAACATTGACCGAAAAAATTGGAATCAGGATTAATAAACTCTTGGAAAAAGTACAAGTGTACAACAGACCTGGATTTTGTGATTTTTCAAAGCAGGATGATTAAAAGCTGGCTGCTTGTTAATGTCTACACAATCGATTATGTCCCCATCTTCACTCTGTGAAAAGAAAAAAAAAAAAACAAATGCTTAAAAGGAGGAATCAAACTGTAAGAACGCACTACATTTTGTTACATATAGTAGTTTGCATCCACAAAAACTGATACTCCATTCGAACAAACATGACACTATTTCTTTGGGACGGAAAGAGTAACAATCTCGACATTGGTACCTGAATCGTGCTATTCACTTCATAGTTTCTCTCGGACTGAAGAATGTTCTGCTTCAGGCTGGAAGTATTTTCTGAGACCGCGGTACTGCTAGTTACAGCATTTATAGCCAGAGTGATTCCCAAGAACAAGATGGTATTCCATTTCATCTCGATCACCATTGAAGTGTTGAGATTATGAACAATAATGCTTGTTCAAGGAAATTAAATTGAGCCTGCTGCCTTCTTACAGTCAACTTAACATGAATTGACAAGTGATTGAGTTTGCAAAATGTTGGTCTTTAGTATGCTGTTGGGAGCAACAAACTGTACTCATGCATGACTTACTTTTCTCATCATTCAGATTTCATTTTTACTTTTAAAATAACTTGAACACACGCCAGAGAATTTCAATGGGCGTAAGTAAACGTCTAATGTTATGAACTTACGATACTTTTCCACTGCTGAATGGGTTCCAAAAGCGTAATTCGGTCCTTGGTTTCTTTGTTACACAGTCTCCATTGGGTGTTAAGTATTTTTCTTTGTTAAAGTCACGTTAACACGACCATTAGGCCAAAGAACAGCGATAGATAATGAAATTCGAAAATTTCAATCTTTATAAATAAACTCAAAAAAATGGCTCAAATTTATTGAACAGGAAAGATAACCAACCCCACATCTTACAAGGGCTGTAGCCACAAAACCATTATATATAAGCAGGTGTTAAGCTGCCAAAGGAAAGCTAACATTAGCCCAAAAAACAAAACAATGTCGACACAAGCTTTGTGTCTGTTAGACAGCTCATCCAGAAGCTTTGATTCGACAAGCGAGGCAACTAAGAATAACTACTGAATTGCAAACCCTGAAAGAACAAGTTAAAACACCCCCAAAGGTAACACTATATCGAGTTATCAACAATGATTCAACTCAAGGCAACCCTCAATGACTTACTTCACACACATATATATACAGGCGCACCTATACTGCAATAAGATTCAGATTTATAATAACGAGCAGCTAGACTGAATCATAGTGTTTCCTTTCTTCCTGTATGGACCGAAAAATGCGAGCAACAGATTCAGTTGCCGATATGCCATTACGAGGAACCACTTTGATCACCCCAGCTGGGTGATCAACCTCACGAGGTGGTGGGGTATTACGAGTTGGAGACTCGACAATTGGAGCTGTTGGGAAGAGTGGAAGCACACCACTTCCTTCGCTGGTGTTTCCTCTCCCATTCTCCTGCACTACCATATTTGGACTACTTGCAGTACTAATTTGCATACCAACATCAAGTGATCCTTTTGACTTTGAGGCATCCATTGTTACCCCATTCAACAGGCTTTGAGTATTACTTGAGTTCTGATGTTGAATGCCGTTGTTAATCCCCAACCAAGGTGGCTGACCATGCATACCAGATGCAGCATAGTGGGTCATGGGATCAACCGGTGGACCAGCGATTCCTTGACTCATCACTGCCATGCCGAATGGAGGAAAGTAACCGGGAGGTCCAGCAGGGGAAGGAAACGGAGGAGCACCCATTCCTTGGTAATGATGCATAGCTGGAACCCCATATGGCGGAGGGAAGAAATTGCCCATCGTTGGTGGGGTTGACCCTGGAGGTCCACAGCCGCCACAAGCTGGGGCCATCATACCAGGTCCAGGATACGGCTTATAAACAAGTCCTTCAGATGGTGACATTACAGGAATCAACCATTGATGCCCCTGTGGTTGATGAAAACACCAAGGACCTTTAGTATGATCCCCAGCTGCAGCTGGCGCAGGAGAATTCGCTACCAACTGATTATAGCTTGGCGGCTGATTATTATTTTGTACCGAAGAAAGAGAATTCTTGCCAACAGTATTTTCTGCTGAGCCTTCTATCTTATAATTCTGCTTCTCAGAATCATTATGATGTTTGGAAACATTTGGAACTCCCTTGACAGCATACTCTATAGAGAGTTTCTTTGGAGCAGATCCCTTGATTGGTTTTCCCAAGTAAGTTGAGTCCTCAACCAGAAGATTTGGTGACCCAGCAAATAATCTTTGCACCTGTCACAGTGATTGACTTAAGCTCTGTCTGGGTAAAAAATGTATGTGAAACAGTAAAGAAAATAAACAGAAGGTTCAGATTTAAGCTCAAAATGTCAAGACTTTCATACCTTTATTAATCGATGCAATTCAAATACTTGAACAGCAAATACTCTCTGTTGGCTGAAAGGTGAAAAGGATAGTGTCAGAAAAACTTCCCAACTCTTCGGAGGCAAGACATATATTAAATAAGAGGTGCACTGGAAGGACACTAACTTATCAATCTTTGATTGAAACTGATACATAGAATATATCATCCCACAGGGCATTAACAAAATTGGAAAATTGCTACAGTAATATCTTTTTCAACTGATACAGTTGAAACAAGAGAAAGTTGTAAGAAAATCAAGAAAAGATTTTAAAAAGAGGTAAACAAGCAAGAAAAGAATATCCCACGAACATAATCCAAACAGAGAACACGCTTAAGTTTGCAAATTAGACTCCATCCACCCAGCATTAGAGCTGGGAAGAGTATCAATTGGCAGCTTGTCAAAATATGTCAATACTAATCGATGTTTTCCTATATGCAAAAATGGGAGAACCACCCATGGCAAGAAGTAGTAGTCCGAACCAACCCAACCTGTGAGCTGAAGTTAAATATGCAGGTAGTCCCACCGAAAATGCGGAAAAACATTACTTTCAAGCAGCATCCAGCAACCGAGCTCACCATGCAAATAAAATGGAAATTCTGGAACATTTTCCCGTAGATATGGTACTTAGGACAGAATCCATCCAATGCAGCTGAACAGCGAATATGCCAACTACATTGGAACTGAACTTGCAGCTAAAAACCTACCCAGTTTGACTAAGAACACGTCTGCTCAAAAATGGTAATAAAATGTGTCCAATTTCAACCCTAACTCGAAATCCCATGTATTCAAACAAGAAGCAAGTTTCCAATATCAAAAGGGTACATCATAATAACATTGCATCCAAATGCCAGAGCATAAGTTTCTTAAATTAAGGAGAACGTCCCTTAGCAAACACAATTTTACTATTCCCTGGCAAATATGAACTGTTTCCTCTGTGACCGGTTCTTACAGTATGGAGTCAACATAACTGCAGATAACTTTCACATCTGCTCACACAAATCATACTTACTATATTCAGTAAATGGGACAGTTCCCATGACTTGGGACAGTTCCCATGACTTAATAATACAAGACTACTGAAACTCGTATGTCCATCAGGGAACATGTCAAACAGTAAATGGAGAACATCATAGGTGACAAAAGTTCACCCACTTGGCAACTTTAGGTTGTGTAATCAGTATTCATTGGCATTTGTTCAATTCACTGCTCCAACAAACTATTTCCAGACTTCCTGTTCTATTTCAGTCGTTCCAATAAAGTTTTAACTGTTGCTGTACCCATAACAAAAACTAACAGCAAGATTTAGGTTACACAGGGATTCGTGTCCAATTAAATCCTAGGTTTTTCAATTAATTTACTGAGATTCTCTTTTATTCATTTCCTCCCAGATCAGGGACAACCATTACTGGATATGTTTTTCATTTAAGATGAAACAATAAAGAAACTATTACCAACAATGTCCACAAACTAATATTATCAATCTAATGCAACATCAATATCAAGGATCTAACATGCATTACATTTTTATAAACTTGAAAAAAGAACATTACTTACTTGACAATAGCTCTTCGAGCTTTCCAGAAATGCTTCTGGCCTATTATTCCTACAACATCATCAGGGCATATATCCAAACCCGATACAGAATCCACCACAGATGTCTCAGAAGCGTCACCATCCCTATCTGCAGCAACAGCCGGTAAAGACCTATATGTCTTGTTTTCACAGACCTCAGAATCATCCTGGATTCTCTGGTCTTCCGGATCCATATCGAACCTGGGGACTGAATCCCCATTACTTTCAAACCTTGTAGATTCATTGTACACACCATCAACAAGTACCGGACTGTTAATGGACGAATTACCTCTACGCTCTGGTTGTAAGGGTGGTCCAGCCTTGGGTAACCTACTGCCATTGCTGGGCACATAATCTTCGTGAATATGAGAAACAGAAGCACCACCCTGCCTCGAAGCAACTTCGCCTTTACTGGCAGGTATTGAATCTGTACCTTCAATTGACAGCTCACAAACTCCATCCTTATTCTCATCATTTTGTTTCCTTCCTTCTTGTCTTGGGACAGATCTAACAGCTATAATCTGCCTTGGTCCATTACCGACATTAGTGAGCTGCTTCTTTGGAGGCTCAGTTATAGCTGGCCCAGAAAGAAAGGATCTTCCTCTATCTTGACCAACAAGGAACTGCGTTAGGATAGGAACCCTAAAATCATCTTCCTCTGAGTGCTTCTTCTGTTCATGAGACAGCAAAGACGCACTTGAATCATAATAGAGGCTGGACTGCTTCTCAGAAGACTGTACAGGAGGAGGTAGTGAACGCGGATAATATGTATTCCTCTGGTGCCCATTCCCCTGAAAGGTGAAAGACGCATAGGTTATATAGACCAATGCAAAAGATAAATAGAAACAAAGCACTGGAATGTGGATCTCAATCTCATTATAATATCAGCAAACCACAGACGCATAGCTTAATAAATCAATCTTTTCGACATGTAGAAAAGGAATTGTAGACCAAAAAAAGAGTTACAGGACTTCATATAAAGTTATAGAATCAATTCAGCTAATATCCTGATCTAATCATTTGTCCTCTCACCAGTTATAAGGTGAATACGTATTAGCTGAATCAATCTTTTCGACATGTAGAAAAGGAATTGTAGACCAAAAAAATATTACAGGACTTCATATAAAGTTATAGAATCAATTCAGCTAATATCCTGATCTAATCATTTGCCCTCTCACCAGTTATAAGGTGAATACGTTTAAGCTGATTCAAAATCACTAGAACATATTTTTTTTGGGAATATATACCAGCACATTCGCTAGTGCATAAATACTAAAGACAGGTCTCTTCTCGTAATTTATACATCCAATTTTACATCCAAGAGAATTCAAGCCTAGTAATGCAAAGTCTAGCTTCATACCTTACATTTGTGAAGGTCCAAGTTTTTCTATTTGCAGGGTAGGCATCACATGTTCCCTCCACCACCCCCAGAAACCCTTTTCTGGTAAGTGGTAAGAGTACTTGCAGGTACATATATGAAAAGGAAGCGAAAATCCCAGTGAAAGAAAGTCTCTCACTAGGATTGTCTTGATGCGAAGCAGAAAATTAGCCTATATTAGCTTAAAATGGAAGCAATAGAAAATTGAGGTAATGTAACAGTTTCTACTTTGTGGTCCAACGATAAAACATTCACAATAAACAACGCATTTATTCTGCCACCGAGGATAATAGGTGAGTTGTAGTGGGCAATAAATCACTCATGCAAGAGTTTGGTGACAATTGTAGCATGCTATTAACTGATCAATGAACGTACAGAAAGTGGCTTCATCACAATACTGTACCAGATCTTTCACGAAGCTAAGACAGGAACTTGAGGCTTTTGAATGTGGCTCTTTCACAGCCAAGAAGCTACTTGTTAATAAAGCTACTGGTTTCCTCTTTATCTTACTTCTACTAAGGTTTGTTTCTTTACATTTACACTATCAATACTCTAGAAATTTATCCAAAATGATGAACTTCATTGGAGTACAATAAGATTACCAAAGCTTCTCTTCCAATCACAAGTTGAATCATACAGAAACAACACCAAATACAAGTTGAACTCATTATAGAAACAACCAATTAAAACTTTATTACATATAAGTTTGTGTAAGCTTAACAAAGCAGCAAGGGCAAAGTCTCCCACTTAGTATTTTGCCCTTACTCCTCCTTCTAGAACCTTACTGTGTAGTGGCTAATTCATCATCTCATCAACACAATCAAGATGAGTCTAAAATTAAGATATCTATCATACACAGCCAACCACACAATGAAGCGTAGTCCCCTCCTTGCATTGTATCATCTCCTTCCCCCCAATTAATTCCCCCCAATTAAACTCAAACAGAGACCAAGATTCAAGCGGCCATTTTCCTTAAGCAAACACCAAGTCATACAACAACTATTATTATAGCACAAAATCATAGAGTCAATACAACTAAAAGGTTAGCAGAATAAAATACTAAAAGTTAAAAATTGCAAATCACCTGGCTAGAAGAAGCAGGAGTAGCAGGGGAGCTTGGATTACTAGGCACCGAGCCAGGTTTAAATCTCTGGGATGGAATGCTCAACTGTTCATATAGGGCCATCTTATTCCTTGGAGGTGCTCTTGGTCCTCCCTTCTCTGTATCGTTCACATGTAGCCTGGGAAACATAGGTCCCATAACCTTCTCATCATCCTTACCCCTCTTCATCTTTACTTACAACCTCAAACCTCCAACCACAATTTCCCTCCCTGTAAAATGATTCAATTATTTCTTCTAAAATTCCTCAACATCCAGACAGAAATCCCTGACGAACAGACAAGACATGCCTAATCCAGATGCCAAAACCCGGATGGAAAATGTAACTAGTAATTTTTATAAAGAAAATAAGACAAAATAAAAAGCCCTTTTCTTTGGAACCACACAGAAATCCTGAACAAATTCAGCTCAAAAATAGATCCCAAACTTCCAATTCATCTTCAATCGATAAGCTATACCATCAAAATGAAAAATAGATTTCTTCAACAAAGGTTTAAGAACCACTCACCGAAGAACAAAAACCACACCCAGCGGACTCAAATCTTCCTCGCAACCAAAACACAGAGCAGAATCAAGCAAAACCCACTTGTTAACAAGCCACAATCCGGAAAACCCAGACTCAAAAACTGATTCTCCTGCCCGAATTCAACCCTTTCCGAAGAAACCAGATAACAAAAAAATTCGACAAAAAAAGAAAGGGCCCGACTACCTACGTCAGAATCAGAATCGAGCAGTACAAGCTAAAAAAGTATAGAACTGAGCAAAAGAGATTCGATAAAAAAAAAAAAATGAAAAAGAAAAGGCGAATTTTTTAAGGGATTCCTGGATAAAAACGGGAGAAAGCCGAAAGGAAGGAAGGGAAAAAAGATCAAGGCCTAAACAGTACAACGTCTACCGCCAAACAACGTAGTCGTCCGTAGTTGGATGTGAAAAGGGTGAAGAAATGGGGCCAAAAAGTGCAGTGAGGCTTATGTGGACCCAAATTGTGGATAGAAAAGAAACTGAGGAGCTAGAACCTCCTAAAGAGATAGCATCAATAAAAAATTTGCTCGGACATTGGCTGGATTTCTTCGCTTTCATTGCAAATCAAACCCAATTTTTGGAATTGTTTAAGAACTCTGGTTTTCACTCCTTCCAGCTCCTCTTTGACACGTAGTAAAATCAACCAAGATTTTGTGTTAACTGGTGATGTGTAAAATTTAAGGAAGATAGTTGGATTTCTACTTTTTCACTTAAAGGACTAGTTTATTAATTATTAAAAATCGTATCTTAACAATATTATACCTATAAATAGCATATTCACTCACGAGAGTATTTTTTGTGTGCAGAATCCTAGTTATGAGGGAGTAAAATCACTCACGCTATACCAAAAATATATTAAAATTTTGTTAGTAATACCCTAAAAATAGAAGGTCCTGAAATTGATTTTTATTCTATGGGTTTGTTGCAACCAACAATATGGATAAAAATAATTATGTATAAAATTTTATTCTGTGCGTTTACATCCACAACTAGTAATGAAATGTTGAATGGGACTGCTCTTGCATCAAATTTTCGGACGGCGTGATTTTTATTATGTCATAGTATCATCTGTTAGATTAAATCTTTTAGCCTAATACTTTAGATCAAATAATGTAAACTAAACTAATGTGAAAGTATATATGAATCCATTACGGATGACGAAACTTAGATCTGTACGGTGCCTTAAGACGGGCGGCGACGATGATCTAGGCGGTGGCGGACGGCCTGAAACCTGCAAAACAGAGTCTCGGGTGTCTTCCGAGAGTAGACTCTCCGATACTTAAGTTAATAATCGAATAGAGAAAATAGAGAGAGAAGGATGTGTATCGTGTGTACAAGGTGTAGAAGATATGTATTATAGGAGAGGCACTACCTCTTTATATATATAGGAGAGGCACTACCTCTTTATATATATAGGAGAGGCACTACCTCTTTATATAGAGGCGGTGTTAACTGTTTCTTGAAACCCTAGCGGAATAGGTTTAGGCGGTGGCTTAATCTCCATGTAACCTAATCCTAGACCCAATAGGCCTAGGGTTTATTTTGGACTCGTCAGATGAACAATCTCTTTAGATTTGGTTTTGATCTTCCAGATAATTTCTATAATCATAGGAAATGAGGAGACAATTTTTTAACGGTGTAAAAACTCACCAGGGGACCACAACCGGTTATATAGTAGTTAGTTCCATCACAGAAAAGAACCCTGGTCTTTTAAATTTCTACATAATATTGGTCACAACTTTAATTTAATTAATAATTAGCCAAAACATTAGTTAACATAATTTAGATCACTTTAATTGAGTTGTATTTTATGATAGCCTATAATATACAATTATATATTTAGTGTATAAGTCCAAAATAAACTTACATCAACCACCCTAAATAACCTTGTAACATATCCTAAATTATCTTTCCCTTTTTGTTTTCATTAGTGCCCCTCCACAATATAAACTATTTAAAATTCTAATTAATTTTAAGGAGGTCGAACTTTGTTAATCATTTGAAACTAGATTCTCCCCGTGCGTTGCACAGAATATATTAAAATTCATTATTAAATCGATAATTAGTTACGAAAATAATTTCACATACTCGATTAATGACTGATTGTGAATTATAATGTAAAAAGAAAGGAATGATACTAAGAATAACCCAACGATAAAAATAATTAAAAAAGACATGTTAAAAATTAAATGGTTTTAATAAAAGAATAAGGTTTTATTTGATTATTTTTCTCGTAATTTTACCCGTAATATTTTAATATTTTTATTTAATTAGATTGGTATTGAGATGATCGAGTTTGAATATAAGAAGAATGTATTACTTGTACTTTTTCTCATAATTTTTCCGTAAAATTTAACATTTTTTAGTTTGAATGTAAGAAAAACCAAGTTCTACACCAAGAAGACAAGCTTGGTGTTAAACCTGTGACAGAACAAGCCACTCGACATATTCGAAACTTCCTGAACCACAATGATCTTAAAGAACTCAAGAGCATTGATTGTTGGTACACCTAAACCAACAAGTGTTCTAATCAGTAGTCGATCTTTGAAAGACTTGACAGAGCACTTGTCTACCATCATGGTTTCTGACCATGCTCCTGTCTTCGTTCAAATTAAGGACAAGAGAAAATCTCCAAAGAAACGGCACAAGTTTGAGCAGTTTTGGTCTAGATGCCCCAAATCACAGGATTTGATACATTCAGCTTAGACACAAGGTACCTTACAGTTACCAAACCTTCAGGACAAGCTTTCCTACCAACTCAAATCAAGCCCAACCAGTCTACACAATTGGAGCAATGAAAACTTTGGTAATATGGATTAAAAAAAAAAGTCATTACAATCACTGCACAATTGTCTAGGCTTCAATCACAATGGGAGGCCAACATAACTAACACCGTTTTCAGAGATCAACTTTAAGAGAAATCTCAAGAACTTGAAGCTGCTTTACAATATCAGTATGATTATTGGCAGCAACGATCTAAGCTTATTTGGCCTTTACAAGGGGATAGGAACACAAAATTTTTCCATAAGTGGGCATCAAGATGCAAGGGTAATAATTGGATTATTGAATTAATCAACAACACAGGTCAGTGGATACAGCGTCAGGAGCAGATGGTAGACTTAATCCAGGCTCATTTTACCTAGATTTTTCAGCCATCACTTGATCAATCTCAAGATTCTTCTTGTCACTCCCCCTTCATGCATCAACTCCTACAGAATGTCCAAGAGACTCTCACCTTGGATCAGGCTTCTCAACTGGATCACCTTTTTACTACAACTGAAGTGTGGGAGGCAGTTAAACAAATGGCGCCCTGGAAGGCCCCAGGTCCTGATGGAATGCCTGCTGGTTTTTATAAAACCTACAGACACACCATAGGAGAGGATGTAGAGAACACCATTCTGGAAGCCATTAACCACCAGGAATTCCCATTGGAATGGAATCAAACCAATATGGTATTGATTCCTAAGATACCCAATCCTACTTTCCCTGCTGATTTCAGACCAATAAGCCTATGTAATATAAAGTACAAAATCATTACAAAGATGATCACTAACAGGCTTAAGTCCATCATCTCAGATCTTATTGATGAGCACCAAAACGGTTTTGTGCCAGGAAGGAACATAAGTGAGAATATTCTGATTGCAAATGAAGTCATAGAATGCATCCGGAAAAAGGAAGGGGGTCTAGGGTTGGCAGCTATAAAACTGGATATGAGCAAAGCTTATGACAGGGTTTCCTGGCCATTCTTGGAAGCAGTATTACAAAAAGTAGGTATTTCCACAAATCTGATCAAGCTCATGATGCATTGTGTTTCTACTGTATCGTATTCCTTCCAATTCAATGGTGAAGGCCTCCCTTATTTTTTTCCCAAAGAGAGGTCTCAGACAAGGATGCCCACTATTCCCGTATTTGTTCATTTTATGCCAACATGTCCTATCCTCTGCAATCAAATCAGAGAACCAATCTTTTCCAGGATTGGGAGTTAAGATAAGCAAGACTGCACCGAGGATTAGCCATTTAATTTATACTAATGATAGCTTATTCTTCATTGAGTGCAAGGAAGACTCCATCCAAGCATTATCAGGATTGATTGAGACCTATACAGCTTTCTCTGGGCAAAAAATCAATCATCAGAAATCCTCCATTCTGGCAAGTACAAATACCTCCCCTGAAATGAAGTATCTCCTTCATTCTACCACTGGTATTCCACCGGGAGACTTCAAAAGCAAATATCTAGGCATCTCTCTAGATTTTAAAGAGAAGAAAAAGGTAAATTTCAGAGAATTTACTACTAGACTTTAAAGGACATTTGCTGACTGGAAAACGCAACTTCTGATCTTTGCTGGTCGGGTAACTCTGGCAAAAACTTCATTATCAGCCATGCTAGTGTACCGAATGGGGGTCTTCAAACTTCCAGCATCTACTCTAAGGAAGGCAGAAAGCATTATAGCAAACTTCATCTGGAAAGGGGATGATCAGGGCAGAGGAGTTCACTGGAGGTCTTAGAAAAAGCTAAGCAAGTCCATATATCATGGTGCTTTGGGTCTAAAAGCAACTAAGGAGTTCAATCAGCCTCTTTTAGCCAAACATGCTTAGAAGATTTTGTCACAGCCGTATTCATTACCGGCATCTTTGTATAGAGCCAAATACTGCTCTACAGACCCCTTCCCGCAACCATGTCCATCCACCAATGCTACATGGGGATACAGAAGCATTCTTTGGGGCTCCCAATTACTACAAGGAAATTCCAAGTGGAAAATCATCTCAGGTCGGACAACACATATTGTTGAAGATTAGATTCCTAACAACCCAATCCAGAGAACTTCTTTCCTAGCTACACACTCCAATATAATGGTCAGAGATCTTATCAACTCTAATGGAGAATGGAAACTGCCATTTCTCCGTACTATCTTCCCAAACCACATCATCCCACACATCACTGGGATCTACATTGATCAGTCAAGAAGTTCTCAAAATGATAAGCTCATTTGGACGAATTTAAGTCATGGCAATTATACAGTTAAGTCGGGCTACCATACAGCACTAAATTTGGAAGGACAAGTTGGAACTCATCCCACACTTTCATCTCAACTGGAAATCTAGGCTTGAAAAACACTCTAGAATTCAAAAGTTCAACCAAAGAAAAAATATCTTTTCAGCGTTGAATGCTCTTCCAACTAAAGCAAGTTTACATAGAAGAGGTATTCTGGAAGATCAACTATGTCCGAGATGCTTCACTCAAATTGAGGATAATACTCATCTGTTTCTTAACTATGCCATATCTCAAGCTATTTGGAGTTTTGCTTATCCATCCTTCCAATCGAACCTGAATGGCTCCTCCTCCTCGCTACTGGATTGGTTCTTTAACTGGGTACAAACCTCTCCCTCAGATGAAGACATAGATCTCTTACTAACCATATTCTGGAGGATATGGATTGAAAGAACGACAGAGTTTGACAATCTCAAAGCATAGATCCAGTCATATCCCAGAGAATCATACAAGACTCAATCAGCACAAGCTTTTGTTGCGCCTCCAACAACAACCTTTAAGTCAATGTCCTGCAAACATCCGCCCATCCTCCACTTCGGTGTCCCCAATGCAGTTATTGTCCTTGATGGCTCCTTTCATTCTGTCACTCGCAACTCAGCAGGAGCGTAGAAAATTACGTCGCCAATAGGATTATTAATGCAAATCAAGGTTGTGGTT